ATGAACAGGACAACTAACCAACATGAACAATAGCACTAATTTGAACAGGACAACTAACCAACATGAACAGGACAACTAACCAACATGAACAATAGCACTAATTTGAACAGGACAACTAACCAACATGAACAGGACAACTAACTAACATGAACAGGATAACTAACCAATAAGAACAAGACAACTAACTAACATGAACAAGACAACTAACTAACATGACCAGGACAACTAACCAACATGAACAGGACAACTAACTAACATGAACAGGATAACTAACCAATAAGAACAAGACAACTAACTAACATGAACAAGACAACTAACTAACATGACCAGGACAACTAACCAACATGAACAGGACAACTAACCAACATGAACAGGACAACTAACCAACATGAACAATAGCACTAATTTGAACAGGACAACTAACTAACATGAACAGGACAACTAACTAACATGAACAGGACAACTAACTAACATGAACAGGACAACTAACTAACATGAACAGGACAACTAACCAACATGAACAGGACAACTAACTAACATGAACAAGACAACTAACTAAAATGAACAGGACAACTAACTAACATGAACAGGACAACTAACTAACATGAACAAGACAACTAACTAAAATGAACAGGACAACTAACTAACATGAACAGGACAACTAACTAACATGAACAAAACTAATCAACCAGCAGAAAATACCTGCTGTTACTCACATGTGTTAATAGACAGGTTCTGACTGTTCTGCATTAACACTTTATTCAGTCTTTATTACTCTTGTGATGTGTTATTAGTTGTGTTTGTATTACTGGTACTAGCTCTGTCACACTGTTTAACCAACAACAAACAAACTCCCCTCCACATCCTGTTCTGACACAGCAGAGACACTCACTGAAAGTCACATTCAAGCARCTTTCAGGCACTTAAATTTGAATTTTCCAGACTTTTCTGCACCTTACAGCTGGGATGTTCACAACATCAAACAGTACAAACATGATTAAAATGATTTTCATAAATGTGTTATTGTAAGACTGATCTAAGACAATCTGTTCGCACAGCAGTGCATGTTCGTTAGCTGAGGTGTCCATTTCCACTTGGGTTGATTATAAACAAATTTTCTGRACATGTTTTATGGTTTTCTAAAGGGACTACTAGAGCTGTCATTTTAAACTACATACATGTTTTTAGTAATTAAATTGTAGTAAAAGTCTTTTCTGTGTTCACTGAGAGAAGGTTTTCTGTTTCAATAAATGTTGAAAATAAGGCAGTTCTGTTCCACTGGTCTGTTTTTTCCCAGGCCTGGTTGTGATTTTCTGAGTGCTACCCGCTCACAGGACCAGCAGCTGCAGGACCCTCTGCACCAAACAACCAAAGTGTCCACAACACAAAGACTTGCCGTACACACAATAGGTCCAGACGCTGGGTTTGCTGCTCCTAAAGGCTCCAACACCTGCACCGCTCAGCGTATCCCACCACAGACCACCTAACYGCCTCGTTTCTGCGCTTCAGTGTGAATCATTTCCACATAGCTGGAGACAACTGTCAGCTCTCCATGTTCTGTTCCAACCACCCTGAAGTCCCACAGGGTGGGATCCAGGGGAAAGAGTGAAGACYGGGAGTAAACAGCAGTACTCCCAGCTGCTGCTGCTACAGGAAGAGATGGTGGTGATTAGATGGAATCCTCAGAGAAACAGATTTTACTCTCCCTCATCCCTCAGTGTGATGTCCGCTCGTCCTTTTCATGCATCCCCTCTCTCGCCTTGCAGCACAAGTTTGACACCCGGCTGCAGGAAATAAGAGTTTGAGAGATGTCCAGGAATAAAAAGTGGATAAAAGCTGTTTTTCTCTCGTTTTCCTCGGATGACCTCACCATCTGCTTTCTGTGCCTCTCCGCCACATGCAATTCATTGGGTTTTTTTTTCCTGCTCTGCTGTCTGACATACTGACTCACCCCTCCCCCCTTCTCCCCCCTCCTTCCCCTCTCTGGTTGGTCCAGGACAAAGAGGGGTGACGGGAGACACGGTACAGCACAGCAGAGGGCAGGAGGGGCTGTCCTTAAACACGGGGCAGTCTCTGAAGGAATCCTGCAGCCCTTCTCATATTCTGCTCAGAATGTGAACTGAAGCAGTGGAAGTGCAGAGGACAGAAGCTGCTCACATTCTAACAGAGCAAACCACCAAACTAAATGACCAGTCACCAAAAATACAACCTGAACTTACCTCAAAGCCTCAAATAACACGACAGGGAAGAAAAAAAAATGCTAAAACCTCCAAACACTCATCTAATTACTTTCGTTTTTTGGGGAAAATTATGACATTTTGGGGAAATCCCTCCTAAAGCACCAAACTCTGGCCTACCAAAGAAAGGCCACAGGAAATGGGAGTGCTAAGGGTGTTAGAGCACCCCCTTGTGGGTACAGGAGATACATGTCCAAACAGTTTAAAATAGAATGAAGAAAAAAAAAAGGTTTTATTAATGCCTCCTGTGTTTAAATTTCTTTTTTTTTTTCCTGCTTGGCCTTCAGAGGAGTCTGACGCTTTTACTCTCTCTTCCAAACCTGTCCCTCCTTCCCTGCTTCGCAGCTTTTTCAAGCCTTTCTTCTACCTATCATCCGAAAACAAAAGGAATTATGGATTTGGTCAACTGGTCTCTGAACGCAACTGACACTATTTTTTCTACAAGGAGATTGGAGTGAGAGGAGCGCAGCTGTCCCAGTGGAATGGTTGCTGCTGGTCGGGTCACTGGTTCCTGGGGCTGGAACCTGATCTGTTTGGCACCGCTTTCCACTGAAGACGTGGAAGATTTGTACATATTTGAATTCATGATAACTGGATTCCTGCTGATCAGCTGTGGCGGAGTTCTGGTTTATCGGAAAATGAAAGCAATCCTGACAGCAGTCCAGGCCTGTGAGAGGCTGTCAGGAACCTTAGGTGGTATCTCCCGTACTGGAAACACACAGACTCAGATGTTGGGAGATATAAGTGACAAACTGGATGTGATTTTGCCGAGAATCACAGCTTGGCAGTGTGCATATGAGATGTAGGATTACACCTGGGTGAAGTTTCAGACGGAAAGAGAGGCGAGGAGGTGATGAAATTCGAAACATTCGGCATTTTTTCACCATTTCAGAGATGCAATTACAGACTTTAAAGCAGCAAGAAATTCAAGGCCGCTTGTCCCAAAACAATTATGTTTATCTTTCGGATCCCTGCTGCTGTCCTTGGTCGGTCGGCAGAGATAAAAACTTCTGCATTTCTTCTTTCAGCTCTTGGTATTTCTCCAGCTTCTCCTGCTCCTTCTTCCTGATGTTAGTCACTTTGGATCTCTACATCTATCAGCACTGTCTTCTTCTCTTGCTTGTTGACCACCACCATGTCTGATTGGTCAGTCATCACATGTTTGTCAGTCTGGATCTAGAAGCCCCTCAGTAGCTCAGCTCTTTCATTCTTATTATACAGTGTATGTATATATGCAGTTTTGTTGTTTCTATCTACATAGAAATGTATAAAAATACATTAAAAAGAAGAAACAGTATTCTACGGTGCCTCTGTAATTCTACAACAACAAGGGCTCTTTGTATTTTTTGTCCTCTTTGTAATAATTTAAAACAGTGCAGTTTAAGTTTTTATTTAGAAAAAAAAGCTGTTATCATTGGGAGGTTTGACAGTTGTTTACAGGTGTACATGTTAACCTAGCCACTGAAAATCCTGCACAAGATTAATATGAGACTGAAGGGATGGAAGAAGCTCTGATTTGTAGAAATGTAGCCTTATATTCAGACTAATCTGTTTAGGAATTTAACAGCTTTGCAGACGCCAGTGAAATTAAAAAAGGCTCTCTGTTGAATAAGCCTGATCTAAAGTGTCAACATGTAAAACAAAATAAACTCCATAGTCTGAAGTCTGCATTATGGAGGCCCAACAAGAGGACCTTTCAGCAGTGTTTTCCTTCAACAATGACCATGAGAGACACAGAGAGAGTGTTCTCTGGACCAGCTTTTGTTTTCTGTAACACGAGCAGCCTGAGTCTAACAGTGACATCATCCTCAGCTCACACATCTTACTGTTTGACATCATCTCTCTGTGAACCAACCCAGGGTTTTCTCTAGTGTATCATTAGGCTTTACATGCCTCCCCGCCATGCTAACGTTGTTTACTTAGAGCGGACATGACCCACGGAGCATGTGCTAAAAAACAGCCCTGATCATCACTGAGCAGTGAAACTAAATCTATAATAAAGTCAGATTCATCTGTACACAGTGAAAACACYTCCAAACCTGGTCCAGACTATCAAGTCCAGACTATCACAGAACTCTGATCCAAGTCCTGACTATTACAGAACCCTGATCCAGGTCCAACCAGGCTCTTAAATAAAAAGTCAGGTTGTTGGTATTTGGGCCTCATGCAAGAACCGTTCATACGAACAGATTTGTTTTTAAGTTGTGCGTACGAGTGATTTAGGAAAACTTATCATTCACAAATTTTGTTGTATTGTAGGATTTACTTCAGATACGGACAAAATTCACGAGTGGTCCAGACCTGTCTTATATTTTATGTGTAGTCAGTCTGCTGATATCCAGACTGATTTTCTTCACTAATAACTTTATATTTCATTAGTTTGAAGATATTTTGAGTCAAAAATAAATCACAATCCATAATTATGTTGACAGTAGGTTATTCTGTTTCAATTGGAATTATAATTTTAAATGTAATAATGTAGACTAATGACATAAATTGGTTAAATTAAATTAAATTAAATTGGCAATTAATGCTGTTGTATATTTATATGAAGATCTCAAACTACAAACCACCTCAAATTATGCATTAATTGAAGTTTAATCTGTCTCGGTATATAACGAGCTTTAGAGATTATGTTGTTTTTTTTAACCAAATTTTATTCTGTTCAGATTTAGTCAGCACATCAGCTATGCTATTTTCTCCAAAGTGCCATAAATATTTTGGAGACATTTTAAAATGCATTTTTTCAGAACTGCATCTGACACTTGCGATGGTCGGGAGGGGGTGGGGGTTAGCGGTGCGCGACTGCTCTTCTTCTGCATAAGTGAAAATTATTTAGCACAGTTGTTTACACTTAAATTAAAAATATTTGACCAAATTAAATCTGGAGCAGGACTAGAGAGAGATGAATATGATTTAGATTCTTATTTCAGTGACTGTATACGACCCACAGGAGACACAACATTAACAGCAGWTGTCATTTCATCCCTCAGCTTTAGCAGCTCCTTTAATTCCACAGCTGACGCTGCTAAAAATGACAGATTTTCTTTTCTGGATCTCTGAGAGCAGGTCTTTAGTCTCCAAACTCGTAAAGTTCTTATTTTTACTTTGTGATGTCATTTTTGAATGGACACTTCCTGGTATGTGGGGCAGGAAACAGCCTTAAATTGTGTTTTTAGGGTGGTCATTATGCTAATCTCCTCTCCTCATGCACGAGCACCTGATACGCATTCATCAGTTTACGCAGCTCATTTACACCCTTTTCCTGAAGATAGAAGTTTGTTGAATCTGACGTGACATGTTTGTACGAACCCTTTGTACAAACAAAAGTAAGAGAAATTTAGGATAAGAATACGGACATGTTCTTGCATGAGGCCCAATGTCAGGTTCTCCTCAAATACCATTTGAGCTGAAAASGTTTCTTTAATCCTTGTTTTCTAAAATTAATCTTTAGTGTTTCCATAAATCAGCAACTGAAAAAACAAGTCTGCACCACTTTTATTATTTTGCTTTTAATAGATTTTCTGAAATTTTATTACCTTCAGGATTTTAATATTATTGAATATAGTTTTATTTTAGATATATTTATTAATTTGATATACTTTATGTTGCACATGTTTTATTTGTTTAGATCTTACATGTTTTATATACTTTGTACAGATCAGATCTAATATACATTTAATTCAATTCAAATTCAAAAGTACTTTATTGATCCCAGCGGGAAATTAGATAATTAGATGTACCATTTGGCAACTGAACTGAACCGATGAAACATGTTTGAATGATGCTGAACACACCATGACAGATTATATTAACAGAACCAAATGTTCTGATCAAACAGAACCTGTAAGGTGTGTGTGACAGAACACACAGCTGAGACGACTCATCTAAAGATTACACAATGAGTTAGAGCACAAACTGATTCTGCAGAAAAACAAAAAACTTCAAAATAAGCTGTAGAAGTTGTAGCACCTCTGACTCCTGCTGCCCCCTGCTGGTGTTTCCACACAACGACAGCTCACAGCTACTTTTATTTACTGACAAATTAAATCAAAACATTATGAGCTGTATGAAAGAAAAACTAATCATTTTATTTCCTTTCTTCTGTATTCATTACTCTACAGAGCAGGATTAAATGTAATCTGTGAAATCTGAAGAGCTTGATTTATAAAAAGGACTTTAATCCTGAYTGATGAACCCCYCACACACACACACTTTAATGTCTGTTGGTACTTCTGAGAACAACAGAATAATAATCCACACAAATAAAGTGGATGAGGAAGTAACTGAACACCTGACTCTAAATTTAAAATCCATATCCCTCTCTGAAAAATAATCTACAGAGAATGTTTTCTTACAGAGACCATTAGGTGTAGTTCAGCAGGACCAGGTCCACACTCAGAGACCTCCAAGCTCAGAGCCATCATCCCTGTTTCATCCTGTTCCCACATGGAGCTGAACCAAACATCAGCTCCACCATCATTTAAAGCTTTCTAACCTCTGTTAGCAGTGTTCATGTGGCTAACTGAAACATCACTGAGGGAAGGGCTGGTCTGTACCTGAATTGCACCAAAATCCACGTTCTCATAGTGGAAGTGAGCGCACTCTGCCAGCTTTGGGAAGTGTCCCTTTGTGAAGGACAGCCTGTAAGAAAGAAACACAGTCGGTTCAGGACGCAGCTAACAGCTGGAAACCAGGAGGCAGTGATGATGATGATGATGATGATGATGATGAAGACATGAAGTTATCAGAGCAGCTCTACTTACTTCTTGACGTTCTTCACCTTCATGCTGGCTGTGCTGCTGCTGCTGGAGCGCATGAGGGCTTCTGTCCTCAGCTCAGGGATCTCTGCACTCCTCGCCTTTAAAAACAAAAACAATAATAATCATTATTTTTGTTTCTTCAACCCTCATTTAWACAGGAAGAAACTCGTTTTCAACAGAGCTGCAGCGATCGAAGCTGRAGAGGATACTCAGATGCAGCCGACATTTTCAGYGTTTTGTCGMCGCCTACATATTGGGACAGCCTACGGCGCGGGGCAGTGACGTAAACAGCCGACAAATGCGGCCAAAGTCYACRGCAACCCATTAATTGAGACACAGCTCAAGACAGAGACAATTTGAAGGTCCTTGCAGGCGTTTTGAGTTAATTAGCTGTTTACCGTGTGGCACCAGGTGTCTTCAATATTAAACCTTTTCACAGTATTCTAACTGTCTGAGATGCTGAACTTGGGTTTTTTTGTTAGTTGTCAGTTATAATCATCAAAATTAAAAGAAATAAACATTTGATATATCGTATCGTGAGATTRGTGTATCACTACAYCCCTACTGATGATGTTGATTSTTGTTTTAAGCTTCTGGTCCCTGCAGGTGCTGCTAATCATGTGCTGATATAAAATTTATTGTCAGGAAGTATTTTTACAAAGAAATAATCTACCAAACACTCATTTACTGATTTTCTGTGATAACAACAGTTGGTAGCACTCGGTCCCTAAAAGACCCTCCTGGATCCCATGTGGATCACATACAGGTCTGCTGTAAAACAAATACATTCTTCACACATTTACCTGACCGTAAAGAAAACAGTGTGGCAGAATAGACTTTAAAAGGGGACCTATTATGC